AAGTCAAATTCAAATTTCGAGGTACGTAACTCACCAAATGCTGAGGAATTGGCAACTGTGTCACATAATGGAACCAGATTAAAATCTAAGAGCAAGAAAATGTCGGTGCTGGAGCTACTTGAGCGAGCAAGAATGATGAGTGCAGGTTCTCAAAAGCATCAAAATGAAGATTGCACTCAAACCTCAACTGTTTCTTCTGGCACAGCTAGGAGCAGAACTTATTCTGAGGTAGCGAAAGGAGACAATGAGCCGAAATCAGTCAGTTCAAGGAACAATGTGATGAGGTTTGCTGAAAACTTTCGTAATTGGGTTTCATCAGCTGTGGTTAAAACTCGTTCACCTTCAATCAGAGTTGTGGAAGAAGTTGATGATTTTAGTAGTTCGGGACCAACGTGCACAAGCAGTGAGATTACCCATGAAAAAGGCAAAACTGGTGACTGTGACAACCTATCGTCGACTGAAAAAGCAAATAAAAATGACGATGAGAATACATTTGATTGCTGCCCCTCTTCAAATCTTGAAGACAAAATTTTAGAAAAAAATTGCGAACTAAACGATGTAAACACAAGCTTTGAAGAAATCGTAAACTCTGATGGCAATCTTAATGACGTGAATAACGAAAAGAACAATTCGAGTGATACGTTTTCAACGGAATCGGATTCAGAAGTAACACGCACTGCACTTGACGAATCACAATTTACGAACTACGCAAAGAAACTAGATGCCGTAGCTGATGAGGAGAAAAACAGTGTAGCAAAAGCAAATCTCTGCATTGAGTGTTTTTTCAACAAAAATGCTTGTAAAAGAAACGAACTTATAATCACAAGTTCAGACGATAATGCTTGCCAACTATCCACGGAAATTAAAAAATCAGTGCATGCCACTAAAGCGGTTATATCCCCCAAACCGACAAGTTTGCCTCTTCTCAATAAATTAAGAGTTAAAACAGTCGAAGCAGTGAAAACGCGTCTGAAGTCTGCTGAAAACAACATATCGCCATTGTCTGTTTCTCAATTAAAGTTGCTCAGTTTGCGAAAATCCTTGTCACTGTATCAGCGCTTCTTTCACAGCAAGATGGAGACCACTATCTGTGACGCTTGTTCAAAAAGTATCAATTTCCCTTTTTGCCGCGAAGTTTCTGAAAACTCATTACTGCGTCTGTTCGATAACGAGAAGTCTTTTCCACAAAGTTCCAAACAAAAAGGATGCAGCTGGGACAAAAACCTCTCCAAGAACAGAGGAAGGGTGATGAATAAGGAACACATGGATCGCCAAATGATCACATTGCAAGCAGATGTGAAGAAATTGGTTCTAAATGAAGTGATCAAAAATCAAAAAAATGCACTTTTGGGGAAACGTATTAAGCATGTCTCGCCCAATCCGGAAATGGCTGTCGGAAGACGAAGAAGAGTTGCAAGGGACAGAATAATTGGAAAACGGAGAGGGGTGTTTCCTGATGAGGAAAATGCCAAATCGAATTTCGAGACTATTGATGATTCGAATTATTTTCAGTGGGGCTATATTCCGGAATCGGTGAATCTTGATAAACGCAGTAAATGGTATCATATCTTGAAAGACATTCATTCCTGCATTCCTTTATCCTACCATCTACTCTCACTGACAAAAGCTGAAAAAGTAACATTCCATACCGCAGTTATTCCAGACGGAAAAGTGGTCTTTAGTTCTAAAGTGGAATATACTCTAAGTGAAGGGTATGTATTTAGATCTTTATAACCTTTTAACGGTCAAGTTATTTTGATGATTTGGGTACATAAGTTTTCATATTTTTATTGCGAGAATCAAGCGTTTTAGTACAAAATAAAATATACTTAGTAGTTAAAAATTGACATTTTGGATTACACGCATAAAAATGTTAAGGTTTGGTAGCCACTGCATATTTGCTTGAGGCGGCTGCCACTCAGCGTGGCAGTGGTAAAGATCGCTTTTAGTGGAGCATTATTTTCTAAAAATTTAAATTATTCGGGTATAAAACAATACGATGCTCTAAAACAAGTTCCCCGAATAATACTTGGGCGTGACATTTTGGAACACCAAAGCTATGCCCGAGATTATTTAGGGCATGACGAAAGATTAATATAAAGTTATTAAGTATCATTACTTTCACATTTATCTTCTATCACTAGCCACGCTCTTTCCATTGACGTATAGCAAAATTAGGAAATTTTACTACAAGCTAGTTGTTAGCTGCAGCCTTTTTAAGAGGGATCATTTTTTGAAACGAGTGGTCATATTTTCAAAAATTGAAATTTTTAAATTATCGTATTCAATTACCAAATCTCGTGGAAGAAATCAGTAATCCAGTTTCTGATCGCCAGCACTCTAACACTTCAAACTTCTTCAGGCTTCCTTCCAGTAAGGCAGTTAGCACAAGTGGGGCAATAGATTTTCAGCATTGGGACGCCTTGGATAGGCAAACAGATTCGGATTTAGCGGCTGTGGCCTAACTTAACACAAAACTTCCGCTCATCCACTCAATGGCTCCGGCCCCTAGCTCATTCACTCAGCGGCTCCGGCTTTAGTTCATCATCCTCTCAGTCATTCTTCACCATCTTTTATCCTCGTGTCAGCAAGGCGAAAGAATCTCGGACTGACCCGTTTCCTCCCACGAGGAGTAGCGCAGCACCAATGAACGTCACAAAAAATAGTCCAACGATAAAAACAGTCATGAATTAAATATTACTCTATAAAAGTGATAAAACAACACTAATTAAATATAAATTAACTCAAATACAGATAATTCAACTAAAAATTTCATTTAAAAAGACAATTGAAATTTACGATAAATATCAATATTGTGATTCCATTTAAAACTTATAATAGTGGTGCCAACTGGACACAAATCATGTTATACACGATTAAAGCTCACAAAAATTCGAAAATAAGCAGAGCCAACCAGTGTAGCCATCTGTTGAGGAAATGAGTGAACTATTTCCGCTGAAAAAGTAAACCCATCTTTAAAATTATTTATAAAAAAAAAAAAAATACATTTCTATTTATTACATAAAATATGGTCAACATTACAAGCTTCATTTCTGAAATGACGAAAAATGTTAAGAAATAAGCGTGAAATAAAGGTTTTTTTTAGAATATTATGAAATATTCTTAATAATTCCATGCGTATTGAAAGGAATTAACAATAGTTTGCTGTTCCGGTAACGGGTTAAACCTAAGTTTCTGATGGGCACTAGTGGAGCCTTATGAATCCCATGAATCCCGCTGCTCCATAACAGGCTGTTGTGGAAATACCTTTTAGATTAAGATGGTATACTAGTTGGCACTTGATTTTTTAAAAAAGCAAAAGAACATTTTTTTTCTTTACAGCGGTTTTGGAACATATTTAGGGTTGCTTGATGTGTGTGGAGATCCTATAGTTGTTCGAGAGTACAGCAGTTCGAATATTTCGAGAAAAGAAAGTATCAGAGCTTTGTCGAATAAACGTAATTTGAAACACAAGAATATTGTAAACTTCTATGTACGTATGTATTTTATTGTCGTAGTTTTTTAATACAAGAACGTGTTTCATATGAGACATTCACGTACCCTTATGTTATTAGTAGTTTAAGAAAATATTTTTCTTAGTATTAGGTTATTAGGTATTTTACTTAGGTCGCACTATAGCTGTACAATAGGCTATTGGCGACGGTTTGGGAAACATCCCTGAGGATGATCCAAAAGACATTCCATCAAAATTTTGATCCTCTGCAGAGGGGATTCTTAGTATTAGCAAAAGTAATGTTATGTGCTTAGGCTCTTACCGTCGTTTGGTGTATAAGGCTTACTTCATCGGCCTTTGGCTAGGCTTGCTCTAATCCTTTAAATTTTGCTCTTTTTAAAAGAAATATATACTTCACCATTTTTCGTTTCCAAGTGATTTTTGAACTTTATTTCATACCATCAGGAGCCCAAGAAAGAGAATTTTCTCCTGGAATTATCTTGGAACTTCCATTTTCACATTCTCATATTCATATAATCTGCAATTGTATTGAATCATCCGGAAAATTTATGTCGATTTTCATTAGGCAGGACTCCCAAAGATTCATCAAAATTATTCAAGTGGTAACAAGTTAAGCATCAAGACAGGTTGAAGTATTCCTAATTTCGCAACCATTTCAATCTAATAAATAGAGCCGTGGTGGCTCAGGGGATAGTATCGCAGGATTCGATCGGATCATCGTGACTTTCAATTTTCAAATCAGCGTTGTCAGTTTCATATGGGCCATGGAGGGAAAATCATGCGATCACGGCCCTTAGGGGATACCGTAGCTCTTATGAAAAATATCTCTGGTTATTCAATGTTTTCCATATATATATATATATACACAAATTAACATGAAAAACATGAATAAAATAAAAATAAAAAACTAAATGGTAGAGAAACAAGAATGGTATAAGCAAATAGTCGTTGTCAAGACACATCTAATTGCCATAAATAATGCGATATTTCTGAATAAAGAATAATTATCCTAAGATAAAAATTATTCTTTATATGTGTCGATATCGCAAAAACCTTATTTTGAAAAAAATCATGAAATAAAAGAAAAATGTAATAGGAAATCAAACTTACCGGCGTGAATTAAAACGCGGTTTAGGTTTAAAAGTACAATAATAAAACAGTTAACAAAAATCGCGAAGATGTAAAATATTGCTTATAGCTTGAATCGAATATAATAAAATTAAAAAAACATTTGATCGAAGAAGAAGAAAAAAATGTTTAGGTAAAATATTAGTGCTGCCATCTATGAGAAACAATTAGTAAAAAGGTAATAAACCCTTTCTTTCCTTCAAAACTAATTTCAGATTTGAAATCTCCACACCCGAATAAAATATTTGTATAAATGCAATAAAAGAGTTTCTTTTAAGAGTAATGCATCAGTTTTTCAACTAGAAAATTGAAACTTTAATAAATAATTTTTAAATTTTTGGATTATTATAAATGTTGTTAAATACATTCTTCTCCTTAGGGATCTGTGCTTGTGAACTCAAAGGTTTTTTCCGTAACTGAGTTATGCGAGTTTAACCTCTCTCAGTTCGTAAAAGAAATGAAAAGATTTAGAGGATATATTCCTACAACTGTTGTTTTAAGACTTATTTCGGATCTTCTTGAAGGAATTAGCTATCTGCACAGAATGCAAATCATCCACGGATTCTTAAAAGTTAGTTTTCAATTATTAATAAACGATTTATTTACTTATTGACACAATATACGTTTGCAGGCTTTGTGTGCCCAACTAAGTCTTATAAACTTTTGTCTAGTAGAAGCACAGATGGCACAATACAGAGAAGACAGTACGAAGATACATCCAGGATAATAGCGGTACTCGAACCCGCTACCTCCACGCTTCGCATAGCGCTTGAGGGGTTATACAGCTTGGCAAGGAAGGACCTTTATAAACGATTTAATAGCCGGGAATTAAAACGATGAATTGGCAGGGATTGCCTGGCTATAATAAAAGAGATAAAAGAAATATAGATAGCTAATGATATGAAAGAAATTAAAAATTTACTCGAATTGTGTGTTTGTAATAATCTTGGCTTGATCGGTCACCGGTGACCCCCGTGGCGCTACGAACAAACTCAATGCCGGTCACCGATGACCCCCCATGGCATTCAACGTGTTAATAATAAAAATGTGGTGGGAAAATAATGATATTTTTCTCCTATTTTTTAATGAAATGCATACCTGTCAACTTTTTCGCTTTTTGAAAAAGCGTTTTCCTTGTAGTAGGATGAGGGGATAAAATTGAAATTGTGTGTTCGTAAAAAATTGAGCCAACAATTAAGAACACTATCAGAGAGCCTATTTAATAATATATTTAAATTATTCAAATTTAATGGTTGGTAGAATCATTTTATAACCGTTCTCATTTAATGTGATACTGAATAAAATGTAATACTATAAATTTTGCAACTACATTAAATATTAAAAAAAGTCTTCCGGAAAAACCGGAAGATTTGGCAAGCATGGAAATGCAACGTCTTAACTCTTACAGCTTATTGATTAACAATATTTAATTCTAAAACTGACAATTGTGTTATTCTCTAATTAAAGTGAAACCGAATGATAAATATTTTGTCAGCTTTAAATTAAATAAAAACTTTTGTTTGTTACTTTTAAATAAATTGGCTATATATAATTAAAACTTTATGAAACGTTCTTGTCACATTCGAACCAACGCTCTAAAAACAGTACCTATAATTGCATTACAGGTCGAATAACACTGAACCATTTTATAACCGTCGTTGAACAGCTAACCCAATTTTGGGTTTATGATTACTAATGTTCAACTCCGTAACCTTGTAATTTTGAACATGATCCAGAAGACAAGGGAACTCCTGGATCAAGTATTTGGAGAAATTTGCCTTTGTGGAGGACTTTTTGATAGCATTTACGTTACATGGAGAGGAAAACAACGAAATCCTCCCACGGTTAGCATCACGTCAAGGGGACTTTAACCCATGATCTGTCTACCACTGAGGATGTTTAATGTCAGCACTATGGTCAGCGTGAGCCGGGTGCAGAATTCGTATCAACCAACCATAGCTGGAATTCGAACCCTGTTCACTTCATTTGAAGGCGAGTGTTCTATCCCCTGAGCAACCATGGTTCAAAACTGAACTAATGTTGCCATTAACATTTTGCCTTTTATCTCCTTCATATAATTGATGCATAGCTCAGGTACCTCACGAATGTAGAACACGCTATTCAAAACAAAGGTACATAAAGTTTTTTTAATCAATTGAAGTACTTTTATCAAATTACTTTTACAAATCAAATTACATTTACAAATAACTTTTTTTATCAAAGTAATTTGTTATACTTTTGAATTTCTTCAAATGTATAATTGCCAATGGTAGTAGACCAGTAGTCGCGGATGGCAGGTAGAAGTTACGCGATCTGATTCATAATCATATTTATCTTCATGTTTTTACCATGGATCCAAAATATTTCAATTTTTGAAGCTTTTCTTTTTTCTTTCACTCTTTGTAGCCGAGTAATGTAATGGTAACTATGGATTGCAGACTGAAACTAACGGATTGTTTCCTCCTGGATGTGGTACCTTTGGTTTGGGGATTGCAGTATCGAGAATTGAAGAACCAGCGTAAGTTTTCGTCTTCCTAACAAATTATGCAATGAAACCTGTTAAGTTGAACTTATCTGTTAATTCAACTCCTTACTAAGTTCAAAATAATGATCAAGGTAAACAAAAAACTGCCCAAAACAAGTGAATTCTCTCTAAGTAAGAAGACTACTTGTTTAAGTGGACAATTGAATAGTAGTCCCGACAATAATCAACTTACATAGGTTTCACTTTACTGTTAATAGAAATCCTGTCGCTGATTGGAGACATTTTGCATTTTCTTTTACTATTCCGTAGAATCATATTTCTAAGGAAACAAAGCATTCGCTATTTGAGGAATCCTTATCGTGGATCTGCACTAGATCAGTGGCCGTGACTATGGTAACGAGGTTTGACTATTTCAAGTAGGTGTGGTGGACCAATATTTAAAACAGATTTGGTTTCTGTCTATAGCGTAACTCCTTTCTTTGAAATGCATAATTTCAAATTTAGTCTAAATTAAGGTTAAGTCTAAACCCTAATATCTTGATTCTTACAGAGCAGGACAAAAAAACAGACCACCCTAAATAACTTCGCGTTCTAGGACTCATTCTAATTGGTTCGAAAGGGTTGACCTTAAGCATGCTAACCAATTAGTGTGAGCAGTGATGGCTCAGGGGATAGAGCATGCACCTTCCAATGAGGTGAACCGGTTTCGAATTTCAGCGATGGCTGATCGATACGAATTCAGCATCCGACTAGCACCGACCACAGTAGTGACGTAAAATATCCTTAGAGGTAGACTGATCATGGGTTAGAGTCCCCTTTCCGTGATGCTAACCGTGGGAGGATTTCGTTGTTTTCCTCTCCATTTAACGTAAATGCTGTGTAGTTCCATAAAAAAGTCCTCCACGAAGGCAAATTTCGCCCAATACTTGATCCAGGAGTTCCCTTGTCTTCTGGATTGGGTTCAAAATGACAAGGCTGCGGAGGTGAACATTGGTAGTCGTAAACCCAAAAAATTGGGTCGGCTATTCAACGACGGTTATAAAATAAAACAAAATTATTTAGTATGCACGGTATTTTAAGTTACGAAATTAGACACTAAATCGTACTTTCTCTGAATAAGCATACCTTTTTTCTTCAAAGAATGCAGATTTTTTGGCCCTCAAAATTTAGGGAATAACTGCAATCTGAGAAATGTGGTCTCCATAGTTTGGTCAAGAAATAAAATATGGACAGTTAAAAAAATTTATTCAAAATTGCTGATTTTCATCCAGTTGGGTACTGAATACTAGGAACGAAATATTAAAATTCGCTACGATTATTTTGCCTTTTTTGTATTTCTTAGCTATTGGGACTTCCGTATCGAGCTGTAGCTGGAGACCAACTGAACTAATAGCAGCTGGAAATGAACTGGAAGCGAGAGAAAATATTACTTTTGCTTCGGATATTCAAGTAAAATTACTTTAAAAATCTATAAAATAACAGGGAACTTTTGCATGAAGTTACAGACCCCCGCCAACCTTAACCCTAACACTATTTTGAGCTTCATAACGTATGCGCGAAAATTACTATAAAATATTTAGTAAACTTCCAAATATCATGACGTTGGTCAAAAACCTTCACTCACTTTACCTAGAAACTCACTAACTGCCTACTTGTGAGGTCGTTAAGAAATAATTTTCTTAGAGTTGCCAACTGCTCCACTTTATGCAAAAGTTTTAATAAATTGATAGCGAATTAAATATTAAAACTTGTAGAATAAGGATAATTACGAATACTCTTTGGATTTCTCACCATAAGATAACTGTAATAAAATTGCATTGCATATGATACTTTGAATTTTTGTATGTAGCGGGAGGAAAATGAATTAAAATAAAAAATGCTAAGCTAAAAATAACTTAAATTTCGTTACTACTCGAAAATATTTTTTTAGAAAGGGGAGCAAGTTGGCGCCTGTTTTCTTAGTGGTAGCAACATAACGGTTTGGCGTATTAAACCTTGAAGTTTAATGTTTAAAAAAATATATTTGAAACTACTACGACGAATCAATAATTTTAAAAAAATAAGTAGATAAGATCTATTTGTTGGCATGCTTATTCGATGTTTTATTAGTTTTGTTTTTAGAAAATTCTTCCAAAGTTAACCATTCTATACAATCTTTTTCAACGACTGTACAAGCTGGTGGTGGTTCGACCAATTTAGTGGAAGTAGCATCATTGTAGTATTAAGCATATATTTGGTTGTATGAAATAAATTTTCTTTGGTTATAAAGAAGGGATGTTTATCACAGAAAAATAAATAAAATCCTTTAAGCAAAATTCATTTATTATCTCTGTAAATCTTATTATAAAGAATATTAAAATAAAAAAAGGTGCGTCGTGAAAGGAATGTGAATATTCATTCCTTCCATCAAGAATTCGAAAAACTTAAAATTGAACGGTTGGACTGAGGGACGAATCAACGCCTCCTATAACTGAGAGCCACCACACGGTTTTTGTAGGTAGTCCGATCAGGCCACTATGAAGGTAAACCAATTAGTGAAAGAACCATTTAATATGAAATCCATTAAAAATTAGAAAGTGGTATAAAATATATGTCTAAAAATTTGTTTTATCTATGAATATAATTGGTTTGTTTTATTTACTTGTCAACCACTACAGATTCAATTCTCAAATATATATGATACATTTCTCTCAATTACTTTTAAAATAGAATTTGGGAACATGCGCACAAGTGGTTCGCTTTTTCAATAATCTGCGCAGACTACTTATAAGAAACCAGAGATGCCAACTTGCTCCGGACAGCAAATATATATTTTAAAGTGGTAGTTTATCAATTGCGATTCTTGGTTTAATAAATTCAATTCAGTAGATTTTTATCCACCACTATTTCTAAATAATTCGTAGGCTTATATAATTCCCCACTTAATAGTACGTATATTATGCCATACCTTTTATAGTGCGTATATTATGCTATACCTTTTAAAAAGCAAGCAAAGATAGTCAAATATTTACAAAATTCACTTTGAAGCTATTTACCGTTTTTTTTATATTTTTGGCGTGTCCGGAGCAGTTGGTATCACTGACAAACCGTGTGGAGGCTTTCTGATGTAGGAGGTGATGGCCGAAGCCCCAGTCCTAGAACCAAGAATTGAAAAGTGAATTGTTCCCAACGGGCAGTTAGGAGCAACGGATCCATGATTGGCAATTTATAGAAAAATAAAATAACTGAAAACAACCCCCCCCCCCCGTAATCAATATTAAATTTAAAATAATTTGGCAATTGCTATTTCCCAAAAAAGATCGTGAGAATTAATAACCCTGTAACTGTAAAAATTTTTGTGGTAAGAGAAATAAAGAGTTAAAAATAGATTTTGATGTCCGATTAAGTCGCTACAGTGAATGAGAGAATTTTACATTTGTATTGAAATAAAAAGTTATCCGTTACATTTGATGGTTAAGAAAAGAATAATCTTTCGATTAGTTTTTTTAAAAAATGTAATAAAAAGTAAATATTTGGTTTAATTTCATTAAAATTAGATTAAGAATGATTAAAAAAATAAATTTAAGAAATTAAAGAAAATTTAAAAGCTATATGTAATATGTACTTATAATGGCACCACAGCAGCTATGCTAACCCTTTCCAGCACTGTGTAGTCAGTCTGGCGACACTAGTTCATCAAGTGTTGCAAACGACTAGAAATTGCTAACTTATTGCGTTTAAATGTTTAGCTACCAACAATAAACAGATTAAGTACATCGCGTCAGTTAGAATGCATTTGCTGAGGTCGCACTTGCTAATGTGCTACCTGACTAAAATTTTCAATCGAAATTCAGTGTTCCGTAAAGGGTTAAATTAACACCTCTTAGAAGAAAGAGTGCCTCAGCACGGATCAATTCAGTTGTCTGACATTACAAACATAAACTGCGCAGTAGATGAAAAAATAAGAAAAATGTCACTACGTTCGGGTTACTAAGCTGCCAATGGTGGTAAATACGAAAGATGTCATTGCGTTTGCACTAAAGAATGAAAAAAGAATGAAATTTCTAAAATACTACTAAAGAATGAAATTTCTTGTTCATGGTAATCCGTGCTGAGGCCTTCTCTTTTCTTGGAAGTATTGGTTAAACACTGATCATGGGAAATAAAGAAGCAAAACGTAATTGTTATGTAATTTTTTTAATATTTATTTCAGATGGCGGGAATGCTTATGTATTACATTATGAGTGGAGGAAAGCACCGTTTTGGAATCTGTGATTCTGAGTGCCAAATGAATATAAAACTAGGATTCATACCACCCCGACTGGAATCAATTGACTTCGAAGCCAAAGATCTGATGAATGGAATGATGAAAAAGAACAAATCCAACAGATTAACTATCAAATCTATCATTAAGTAAGCTTGTTTTGTTTTTAAATCACAGTAAAAAGTTCGATTTGTCGAGGTTATTTAGGGAAGTCCGCTAATACGGCACATTTTTTAGCAACCATCAACATAACTGTGTGATTTTAACACGTTAAAAATTGCCAGTCTCTTGCTATGGAGAACAATTTTGTTTCCTGGGAGATATACATATTTTTCTGCTATTTAAACCAATGGCTATCTAATATTTTTCCCTAAAATAATCAAGCACCTATTTTTGGATTGATCAATTTCGCGCTTCCCAGCTGTATATAACATGGCATGTCATCTATTTCATTTTATTTTATAACCACCGTTGATCAGCCGACCCAATGTTTGGATTAAAGACTACTAATGTTCAACTTCATAGCCGTGTCATTTTGAACCCAATACAGAAGACAAAAGAATTCCTGGATCATGCATTGGGAAATTTGCCTTCGTGGATAACTTTTTGATAGAACTAACATGGAGAGGAGAACCACGGAAACCTCCCACGATTAGTCTGACGGCAAGGGGACTCATGATCCGTCTACCACTGAGGATATTTTACGTCAGCACTATGGTCGGTGCGAACCGAGTGCAGAATTGGTATTCACCAGTAGTGGCTGGGATTCGAAACCGGTCCACCTCATTAGAAGGTGAACGTTTCATCCCCTGAGCCATCGCGGCTCAAGGTATTAATATTGAGTTTAATGTTTGTAAGTCAAAAACACAGTTTCAAAACACTTAAATATTGGGTGCTATGGCAAATGAAAAAAAAAAAAATTTCCACCCTGTAATCTAATAGGATTAAATCTAACCTGAACCATTTTATGAGTTGATAATAGTATAAGAAAAATATTAAGGATGACAAATTATAGACTTCCATTTATTTAAGTAGGGGGCTTTTGTAATAAATTTATTTGGTATAAATTTTAAAATGTTGAAAAGTATACAATATTAAGTTTCCAAATTGCAAAGGTTCTTGAATTCAGTTATAAATTATACATAATAAATTTTAATTATAGCTGCAATCCATGATAAAGAGCGGCTTATCTTATCGGTTTTTTGATACATATAACTGGAAGAAAAGGATATACGCAGGTGATAATGCTTTGAGAAGATAAGAGATTTCATACATACTGCTGAAGGAGGAAATTGTTTTGTGTAATAGGTGATAAGACAGTGTAGTAGAGAAACAGGTCTTATCTTTAAAAAAAAATATATAATTTTTTTTTATTTGTTTATTCATTAATTAACTGTGGGTGTCCCTGTAAAAGTCATTAAATTGAAATTTTTCATTGGTAAAAATTGTTGGAAATAACAAACCTCCCAATTTCGGATCGTCCTCTAGAATAGTGATGTAACAATAAATATAATGTACTAAACAGATAAATTTAACGTAGTAAATTACACAATGATTCCGATTATTTATTATTATTTTATTGTTATTATTTTGCGCACTCAACATTCAGACAAAAAATAAACTAAACTGAAAATCTGTAGTGTTCGGAACAAAATTAATTTCAGATTTGAAAACCCCACATTCGAAATAGGTAAGATCAAATACTTTTATTTTTATGCAGCAAGAAAAAAATATTTCTCAGCGTTATTGTCGCTGAAAAGGAAATAAGAAAAAAGAACTGCGGAGCGCTCTCAAAGTTTTATAACTGAAAAATTACCTAGCTTTAGAAATTATTTTAAACATGAAAGTTAATAAAATTATAGATACCACTTTTTGTTAAAAAGAAAAATATTTATATAAATTTAATTTCGCTGTTGTTGTGACATGAATTTAAAAAATAAAACACAATTGTGAAGAGCGTCTACTGTCGATTGACTTGTGGATACTCTGATTCAAAGTAGTTGAAAGTAGTTTGTTCTAGAGTAACAGTTCCATCACAGACAGAACAGAATGAACGGATGTTAAAGGATATTTTTATTTCTTTTACATTAAATCAGATGCGATAGCACTTGTAAGATTTTGAAAGTGAACACGAATAATGGTAAATTTTCATTAAAAAATTGGTAATTTCAAAATATATGAGTTTAAATCTTTCAAAAAGAATTAAATTTCATCATTGAGAAAATTTTTTTCAATTTAATTTCTTAAAAATTTTTTTAATTAATCTTATCTTCTTTTTTTAACTTTATATCTTAAAAAAACTTCAAAGATAAGAGTTTTTTTATGAATGAAATTGCAGTAATTTCCCATAACTATTATCAAATAAAATAATACAAATAATATACATTTACTACAATTTTTTTTGCATGGAATTATCTTTGGATAAACGAATTTTATAATTGCGTGTAAAGGTTTTTTTATTCGCCTAAAAAGTTCTCGAGATATGGCGAAATACGCAAAAAGTAAAATTAACATTAAGGGGTCCAAACCTTGGATCGCTCTCCTGACCAAATTATGAGAATCATATTTTACAGATAGCGACTCTCCTCCAAAATTTTGAGGGTCAGAAAACCGAATTGGTCAAAGAAAAGGTTTGTTTCTTCCGAAAAAGTACGTTTTTGTGTCTGATTTCGTAACTTAAAATATCGTCTGCTATTATTAGTTGGCATATTTGAAGTCAACTCCTCGAACCAAGAGCCTAAAGGCCTGGTTTCTTAGGACAGGACGCCGTCAACTGGAAATCAGCGCTAACCTCTGATTGGCCCATTTGTGAATTTGATAGTATGCGTCATCGAACGCTCATCTTGAACTACAATTGCCGTCCAACTCAACTGCAGTTGGATTACAACGTGACGTTAACCACAGAAGCAATGGCGGACAACATCCAACAGCACTTTGAAATCAGCCAAGATTTTGATTTTGACATTAAACATAGCTTCTTCATTAAACATAGCACTCTTCATTTAGCTCAGCTATATTGTGGTTTTTCTTAGACAAAGTCATTATTTGTTCTCTAAAACTCTGGTTGAGAAAAACAAAATCAATACAGATTCAAAATAAATATTTGTTTACGTTATTAACGCATGCGCAATGAGAGATAATGTCTGCGTTTGACCGACTGCTCACGCTGAGCTAACAAAAAAGTATTTTTTTGGCGTCAGCTCTACGCCAACTTTCCGCCGACGCCCAGATAAGACGCTAGTTCTAAGAAACCAGGCCTTGAGCTAACAAACCAGTATTTTGTTGGAGTCAGCGGGACGTTGACGTCCCGCTGACGCCCAGATAAGGCGCTTGTCCTAAGAAACCAGACCTTTAGAGAGTGAAGATCCGATTATTTATTATTATTATTTTCGCACTCTACATTCAGACAAAAAATAAACAAAACTGAAAATCTGAAGTGTTCTGCATTTCTCGGAACAAAACTAATTTCTGATTTGAAAAACCCCACATTCGAACTAGATAAGATCAAGTACTTTTATTTTTATACAGCAAAAAAAAAGAAAAAGAAAAGAAATTCTCAGCGTCTCTGAAAAGGAAAAGAAAAAGAACTCTGTCAACGTTCTATAACTAAAAAATTACATAACTTTTAAAGTTATTTTAACATTAAAGCTAATAATATTAAAGCTACCACTTCAGGTTAAACAGAAAAATATTTAAGTACATATAATTTCTACGTAATATGTGGGAAATCCATAAATAACTGTTCAAAGCGTCTGCTGTCAATTGACTAGTGGATACATTCGTAAATTGTTAATTCTAGAGTTCAGTCACAGACAGAACATGGACGTTAAAGGATATTTTTTATTTCTCTTATATTAAATCAAATGTGGAAAGACTTGTAAGATTTTGAAAAGTGAACACGAATAATGCTAGATTTTTATTAAGTAATTGGCAATTTCAAAATATTTGAGTTTAAATCTTTTAAAAAAGATTAAATTTCATCATCGAAAGAATTTTTTTAAAATTTAATTTCTTAAAAAAATATTTAAATTCTTTTAAATTAATCTTATCCTTTTTTTTAAAACTTTATATCTTAAAATAACTTCAAAGATAGAGTTTTTTATAATTATGATGAATGAAATTACAGTAATTCTGCTATTGCTGTCGATATATATGTGTGACAATGTCGGTTTGTGACTTATATCAACAAGGTGATGGTCATTTATCAGTTCAAAGAATCAGAAGTATCTCAAGATCGGATTTGTGGTATTAATGACTTGTTGCATTGCTGCCAATTTTTAAGGTCAGAGATTCTGAAGTCGAGTATTTCGTCATCGGGATTATGAATTTAATGACGCTTGCATAGCTACTAATTTTATGTCAAAGATTCCGAAGTCAAATACTTCAATCATTAGGGTCATGGATTTAATGTTTGTTGCAGCCAATTTTTTTCATCGGAGTTTCCGGGGTTAAGTTTGTCTTCATCGGAATCGTTTACTTAATGATTTAAGGATATTGCTGCCACTTTTTTATTAGATTTTTCATTAGAAATTCCAAACACCAACCAGTATTTCGTTGTTGGGGTTGTGAACTTAATGACTTTTGCATAACAGCCTTTACGTCAGAGATTCCAAAGTTGATAATTTCGTTATCAGGATTATGAATTTGATGAATCTTACATAGCTTCCAATTTCAAGTCAGAGATTGCGAAATTGAGTACTTCATCATTGGGGTCATGAATTTGATGATTGTTGCATAGCAGCCAATTATTTTCATCACAGTTTCCGAGGTCAATTCTGCCGTCATCGGGGTCGCGGACTTAATGATCGTAAGATATTGCTGCCACTTTTTATTAGAGATTCCGAAAACCAGCATTTCGTCGTTATGGATCTAGACTTAATGATTTTTGCACAGTTGCCATTACGTCAGAGATTCCAAAATCGATTATTTCGTTATTGGAGTTGTGGACTTAATGACTTGTTACATAGCTGCCAATTTTGACGTAAGAGAACCTAAAGTCTCCCCATCTCATCAAAATTATGAATATAATGACTTTAGCATAGTGTCTGTAAAATTTCCCTCATTTTGCAAATGATAATAATAATAATAATAAATTCAATATTAGCAAAATGTTACTTTTGATATTTAACCCTTAGTTTAATCAATTAAA